TATTTGTTATAATAACTTTCTCTTTTTTCAATGAAAGGAAGAGAACATAAATGCTTATTAAGTGAAAAAAGAATGAGTGGGTGGTCTACAGCAGTCAATAGTACTGAGGTCAAGGAGGAAAATACCACTGGATTTGGACATTTTTAGGTCATTAGTGATTATTGATAGAGTAATTTCAGTAAACTGGGGGGAAAAGATACCACATTGGAAAAGGTGGAGAAGTGAGTAAATGCTTAAAATATAGAAGGAAGAATGAGGTGAAAGCCAAAGAGTCAAAGAAAGGCATTTTGAGAAATGAAGGTGACTTGTCAATGTTACTAAGCAGAAGGGAAGGAGTAATGGATAGGGACAAACTGAACATGAATTAAAACCACAGGATCATACTTGGGACATTATCTTGGAAGACACATGAGGACTGAATCAAAGGTACATATTTAGTAAGTAGTTGGAACTTTTCTTCTGTGAAAAAGGGGAAATATGATAGATAACACTGAAAAAAATGGAAGGGGAGGGAACTGAGAAATTCCACAGCTAATGGTTTCATTCTTTGGGGAAAATAGGGAATTCAATCCTATTTAAACTTATGAGACATTTCTTTTTTGTGGTTTCTGACATGGCTTTAAAGGGAAATATAAAGATATTGGCTTCATTTTTCTGAGCAGTAATGATGAATTTATGAAGATAAAATCTTACTGTGTCTTTTATTGAAATGAGGCTATTCTTACTCAAATTAACACCTGTATAAAGTTTCAAACCTGGAAATATATAAATTCAATAAGAACTACAAGGGCAATACACAAAGAGAGGTGAGAATGGGGGGGGGATCAATATATAGTGACTACAGAAATAACTGATGTGAACTGAGGTATTCCTAGCCTCCTCTCCTGATATCTAAACTCCTGGCTTAAATTTGCTTTTATTCTTTTTCTATCCAAATACAGTCATCTTTAAGAGCTTATTCCTTTTTCTCCTCTGTCAATGCCTAAATGTGGTTTGAAAACAAATCTCTAGATTTTCTTTCCTGCCAAGAGGAATAAGGAACTTGGAGCAAAAAGGGCTCTACATGTTCACTGTGTTATGGTAAACAATCATTTGATTTTATGGTCATAATAGGTATCATTTTACCTTTTAAATATTGAAATGTACTTATGTAATATAGCATAAGTACATCAACAAAATATATGTATCTATACACACACATATAGGCTTCAAAATATATAGTTATTCTGTTCTAATGTTGATAATAGATTAAATTAAGTGAAAGTAAGTCATGATCATACAAGGGCTTTATAGGACATTTTAAATAGCTGTATTGGGGGCATATATGTTTGCACTGGAACCAAAGCACTACTCAAATGATCTCAGATACACCATTCAAATAAGGAATCATAAAACTTTACAGCTTGAAGGGATCACTGGAAGTTCATTCATCTGTCTACAGGTAACATCACAATTATGCCATTCAGAGTCTAGTCTACAAACTGGGTTTCCACTGGTAAAAAGGTCCTCAGCCTGAGAAAGTTATCACAGAATTTTAGAGCTCTTATTGTTGTAGTTGAAGTCCAACTCTTTGTGACCCCATGGACCATAACATGCCAAGTCCTTCTGTTCTCCACTATCTCCTAAAGTCTGATCCAAGCTCACATTTGTTGCTTCCATGACACTATCTATCCATCTCATCCTCTACTGTCCCTTTACTCCTCTTGCCTTCAATCCTTTCCAACACCCGGGTCTTTACAATGAATCAGTTTGTCATTATCTGACTAAAATATTTAAGCTTCAGTATTTGACCTTCCAGTGAAGAGTCTGAATTAATTTCTTTAAGTGTTGACTGATTTGATCTCCTTGCTGTCCAAAGGATTCTAAAAAATCTTCTCTGGCACCACAATTTGAAAATGTTGATTCTGTGGCACTCAGCTTTCCTTATAGACCAACTCTCACAGTCATGATCACTACGGGAAAAACCATAGCTTTGAATATATGGACCATCATCAGAAAGGTGATGTCTGCTTTTTAGTATGCATTACAGACTTGCCGTGGGTCCTTAGAGCTCTAAGAGGTCTTAGATTGCTTAGCCCAAACTACTTATTCTTCAGATGAGAAAACTGAGGCCGATATGAATTAAGTAGCATACCTATGGCCACAAAGTTCATTAATAGAAGGACTGGTACTAGCATCCTGCTCTTCTGAATTTCAGTTCAATGTGCTTTTTACTATCCATGGTGGCTGACTGTTTCAGAAAAACACCTTAAAGCATGATCACAAGGATAGCCAGCAGGCTGACTTCTCTACCACTTCCTATATCTTAATTCCGTATTATACCTGGACATCAGTGAAAGCACAGGCTATTTAGTGAATTCTAATTCATTTTTTTCCAGGGGTACTGTAGGAATCCAAGTGTTTATCAAGAATAATAATAATAACAATAATAATAATAATGGATAACCTTTATAAAACACTTACTATGCTGCCAAGCACTGTGCTAAGTGATTTAATTGCATCAGTTGATTCTCACAACAACACAGTGAGGTTAGTACTATTATTATCATCTCTATTTTACAGATGAGGAAACTGAGGCAGACAGAGATTCGGTTTTTTATGACTTGCCTAGGCTTACACAGCTAGTTAAGTGTCTGAGGTTGGATTCTAACTTAGGTCTTCCTGACTACAGGCCCAGCGTTCCATCCACTGTACCTTACAGCTTCCCTAACTGCTACTGGGACGGAAGAGGGGCAGTACCAAATGGGAACTCAAGAAAGAAATGAGAACTTGATTTTTAAACTCTAAAGCCAACTCAAACAAATAAAATAAAAATAAAATCCTGACCTTTAGACAAAAAAACCAGGTGTCACTCCCAAAACTAATGCATGTTAGACTGGATATAAAACTGGGCAAGTAATTTCACAAGGTACTAATAACAATATCCTCATCTAAAAAATGTGGATCAGAGATAGTCAGATATAGTAGATAAAGGAAACCATGGGTTCAAAAACCAGCTCAGACACATACTGGCTGTGTCAACCCGGAATAATCGCTTAACTCCACATTAATCTAGGCAGCTTTCTAAGACGAAGACAATGAAAATGCTAAACTGCATGGGTCTAGGGAGTTTCTTCACTAGGAAAGTTCATCGTATCAGGAAAATCAAAGGTTTCACTCTCTATTGAAGGATATACTCCTTATCCCTAGATAATAAAGAAAATCATACCATAATTACTTATATTATGAAGCCCTGTGAGAAAAACACTTTGTAAACTTTAAAATGAGAGGTTTATTGTTATTACTATTATTTAATCATCCTCTGATTAACCAATAACAGAGGCCATGGAAAAACCTTGAATGCTTAAGATAACAGGCTCTCACAAGTAGGTATTGAAAATAAAACAAAAACCTCTTATGTTACAAAATCATAAAAGTTGGCCTTTTCTTGAACAAATTTAGGGATAATAATTTTGCAATAGTAATTCAATTAAACAAGTATTTATATAAGCAATAATAATATTTTACTATTAAATGCCTATGATATGATAAGACCCTGGGCTAGTCCATCAAAACACAAAGAAAAAAAAGTAGTCCCAGCTGTCAATAGCCTTACATTTTCCTAGGGGATAAAACAATACCAGACACATGTCATTGTTTCGTTATTATTCAGCCATTTTTCAAGCACGTCTGACTCTGCATGACCCCTTAGGGTTTTCTTGGCAAAGATATGGAGTGGTTTGCCATTTCCCTCTCCAGCTCATTTTACAAATGGGAAAAGTGAGGCAAATGGGTTAAGTGACTTGCTCAGGGTCACACAGCTAGTAAATATCAGAGGCCAGATTTGAACTTGGGTCTTCTTGACTCTAGGCCCAGCACTCTATTCACTGCGCCACCTAGTTGCCCATATGCACATAAGACATATGCAGATAAGTAAACAGTAAGAAATTTGAGATGGGTCAGAGTACTCATAAGTGAAATGATCAGAAAAGGCTTCCTATAGGAGGGGGCAGCAGAGCTTGCTGTAAAAGAACTTAGGGATCTGAAGAAGTGGAAATGAGAAAGAAATTTTCAAATCTATGTCCTCATGGCTAATGGCAGAATTATTGGCATAAAGCCTTTTGTAAACTGTAAAGCATTATATAAACTGTTACCATAATCTCAATGTTCAGATAGATTTTGAATATTAGGCATAACATATTTTAATATGTAAAATAAGACACAGAAGCAATAGAGCTGCAAAGCCCATCTGGAAAACTGTTTGCTCTAGCTTAGGCAGTCAGAAGTGAGAGATAAGTGAGAGATAAACAATTATGAAAAGGGACAGACCATAAGCTTACTGCCCAAGGAGTACTTTGGAGAAGAGTATATTCCACATTCCACTTGCTTGCAAGCTAATTAATTTTTTTTTTTTTTTGCTACAGCAACTCACAAAGACCACTACATAGTTATAGAAGAGTTGTAATCTGTGTGAATGATGGGAAGACTTGACAATGATACTGATGAAGATGAGGATAACTAACATTTATATATAACATTTTAAGGTTTTCAAAATGCTTTACAAATATTATTTCCTTTTATCACTTTAACAACCCTGGGAGGCAAGTGCTATTATTATTCTCATATGACAGATGAGGAAACTGAGGCAGCCAAAGGCTAAGTGACTTGCCCAGAGTCACACAGCTGCAAAGTGTCTGAGGCTGGATCTGAATTCAGGTTTTCCTGACTCCAGGTCCGGGACTCTATTCACTGTGCCACCTACCTGCCATATGGTTTCTTAGGTAATGGGATACAAAAATGAGTCCCTTAAAAAACATACTTGAATGCTTTTTTTTTGGAGGGCCAAACAGGGTGCTAACACTGTAATTGCTACCACTTGGAGAAAAACAGTATCAGAACTTTTATGACATGATTTTTCTACCCCATTTATACTCTGTGGAGTTACAGTGTCACATGCCAAGAAAAAGTCAACACAATTCTGGGGCTATTTTCTCACAGGCATATACTAAAATTAGACTTACCTCACAACTACTGAGATCAAGAGAAACCCCCTTCAGATTATGATTACAAGCCAAACCCAATAAGAGTGCTCTGGAAAAGAGAAAAATAAAATTAAGATGAAACTACCAAATTCATAGCTTTGTGTTGTTTTTTTTTTCTAAAGAAAAAGTCAAAATTCTGATTAAAAATGCAATCTACCTCCAGAAAAAGAACGCAATCTGAATGGAGATCGAAGCACACTTCTTTTTTTTTTTTTTGAAAGGCAATTGGGGTTAAGTGACTTGCCCAGAGTCACACAGCTAGGAAGTATTACATGTTTGGTCTGAGGCCAGATTTGAACTCTGGTGGTCCCGACTTCAGGGGCAGTGCCCTAATTCACCATGCCATCTAGATGTCTCTCGAAGTACACTTTTAAAAAAACTTTTTTTCTTTTTCTTTTTTCTTTTTTTTTATGGTTTGTGTTTTCTTTCAAAACATGGCTAATATAGAAATATGTTTTACATGACCATACAAATAATCAATATCAAATTGCGTGCCTTCTCAGGAAGGAGGAAGAGGAAGGAAGGAGAAAAAGAATTTGGAACTTAAAATTTTAACAAATGCATGTTAAAAATCGTTTTTATAGGTAAGCATAAAAAATTTTGTAAAATTAAATACTCAATCAATCAAAAGAAATGTCAAGCACACACTTTAAGGTGTGTTGAACAAAGAAAATTACCCGAATCACAGGTCAAACTGAAAATATCAGCTCAGATTTTTAAAAAAATATTAGTTATCCTTATAGAGGGAAGGAAATTAGAGGGTGAAACTATATATATATATCATTAGATTTATTTGAAATATGGGGTAGTCCTGCTGAACTGCCCTTTTTTCCCTCTTTTGTTCTTATATTGCATTGTAATAGGTAAGGGAATGAGGACCAACCTATCTGAAAATCAAGATGACATAAAAACAAAAGACAATGGTTTTTTTTTTAAATTCCAATTGTATTTCCATTTTGTGACAACATTGATAAAATGGCTCTATAGCTTTCTTTGGTCTTATACAGTAAGAGTTCTATCATAAATTCAAAAGCCAACCAGAATGCTATTCCTATGCAAATAAACCAACAGTAAAACTAAATTCCACACTGAAATTAAATGGAGTTCTTCAAAGATAATTCCCACCTGCATCTACTTTAGAGCATCATTAATAATGCTTAGATTATTAGATAATTGTTATCAGAGCAGCAAAGAAGATAAAAGACAGCGTCCTCAAAGATTTTATTTTTGAGTGCAGAAGCCATATTCTGTGTTGTTATTCCAGTGTTCAAAATTAACCAGTTTAGCAGACAAAAGAATATATAGCCTATTTCATTTTAGCAATGATTAAAAAGTTGATTCTATGAAAATTCACTTATTCTCTAATTCCATGTTAGTGTGATCGAGGAAAACTAGAAGTGAGAGCTATCTTAAAAAAAAAAAGGGAATAATATTGATTCACCTCACAAGGGTGTATATGCTTCCCACTCAGCATGACAGGACTAAATGAAAATTATTTAAAAATTTCCCTAACATGTGGTCATGAGTTCAGACCTCATTAATACAGATTTTGTGATCACCTGGACAAAAGCCCAGATGAAACTTGCTTTTGAAACATCAACAGTAAAATAATTTGATATGCAAATTAACAGGGTAAAAGTACCCTAGGGGAATATATTTCCTAAAATCAAAAAGTACTCTAACAGTACCCACATATAAACAGATAATGCATTGGTTAACACCGGATTCTTATCTATTCCTAAAACGTTGCCATAGGACTTCCATTTGGCAATGCTTCATTGGCCAACTGTTAGGTCACTATGTTGTGTAAAATAAAACTGAATTTCTCTCAAAATACTGAGTGAGAATAATTCAGGATTTTCACTAATTCATACGTCACTTCCCCAGTAATAAGAAAAGTATTGAATTACTTTCACTACATGTACACTTGTTTTCCTTTCTCCCCACTCTTCAGTCTGTCAGAGCAGGCCTATATGCATGCTTACAGGTCCATTTGACTAAACTCAGTAAAGAAAAAAATAATTAAATATTATGAAAATCATTTTTAAAGCTTTATATCATGTAACAAATTCACTTTTCACTCAGTTATTTTAACCTTGAGAAAATGGAGTTCAAATAATTATTTCTCTTAACTGTATCACAGCATGCAGTGAAAGACTTTTCCTTCATCTGTAAGTCATCTTCCTATGAATCAGTTCATCTCAATTCATACCTTGCATTCTTTTTCTTTAATTCCTTGTCTCATGTCCCTTTGTCCATTCCTTTTCTAATTCAATTTATCCCTTTGTTCAGAGAGTAGGAAAAAAAATCTCTAGAAAATGTACCTCCAAACATAACAGAATCACTTATTCATGAGGATTATTGGGAAGGATGGGCATATATTATTGGTATATAGGTCTTGCTTTTTTCTTTATATTTTATTATTTGAATTTTTTGGCTTGAAAATATCATAGGGAAGAGATTTGCATTTTAATTCTAAAATATTCTTATATGCTACCTTTGAAGGAAAAATTTTTTTTCTATTTTTCCTTTTTAATGCCTTTCCCTGGTAAAGTTAAGGTTACAGGAGCAATAACATGTTAAGATATTTAACTAACGCAAGTCCACAATTGGAAGAAAACTACTGAGAAATTTTGTTGACCAGGCCACCAAAAATAACTAACCCAGTAGAAACTGTCATTTAATGATGAACCAAAATGCACTGTGCAGCTTTTTCAAACAAGTTGTTTTATTTATCTTAATTCATTTATGAACAAACCTTGATTAATTTAATAACGTCTTTCTTCAAAGACCCTGCAACCATGCAACGCTAAGACAACAAATGATAGTTGAGTTTTAGGTTTAATCTCCTTCCTTCTGAATGGTTAATTCTATGTATAATTACTTTTCAAAGCACTCCTAAGTGAATTTATTAAAAATACCAAGCCAAAATTTTTTAAGAGAGAAATAATTAGTATAGATTGAATCCTTAATGGCTAGATACCTAAAACAATAACCCTGGGATATTTCTGAAGCACACCATGCAATCTCTCCTGCAGAGCTCTAAGGAAAACATCAAGGCACAGAAACTCATTGGCCTTTGAAGTATGCTTGAAATGCTTTGGCTTGAATGAAAAAACATGGCCTCAAAATGAAAGACCAACTAATGAAATAAATAATTCCCTGCTTAAAAAAAAATCATTAGACTTGCCCCTTAGCTCTATTAAAATAAAAGTAGGGCAAAAACAGAGTTGGTGAGGAAAACTATTACTTCATTATCCAAAACTATTAATGTAACAATTTCTAATTGCCTGCATCCCTCCATCTCACATCCAGTCCTTTTACATGTACCTATTACCAAACACTTCTCAAAAATCGGACTCTTATCTCATTCCTATTCTACCAAGGCAGAATTGTTTCTTGACTTCTTTATAGAAGTTTCATCAACACAATACTTAATTATTTACAGTTAAAATAGTTAAATACTATAATCATCATCACAGAAAAAAAATCATTCAAATTTGTGAGTACCATATATGCAGAAATGAACCAAGATGGCCCACCATCTATATTTTTCATATACTTCCACAAAGAAGTAACCACAAAGATGAAAGGATTATTGATTTGGCACGATTATAATTTTACACAAGTAATGATATATCACATCCATATCATGAAATATGCTATCCAGATACAATAAACTCTTATGTGGGTGGTACAAGAATGGGGTATTCTGGGTATTTAAGTATTCTAGGTATTACAACATTGAATATGTACTATAAGTGGATCAGCAATCCTGTAAAATTTTAATAAAATAACCTGAATTAAAATTAGTCTGAAAATAACTGATGCTAGTGATTAAGACCTTGGAGTACTGAAAGATCCTGAAATCCCCTCTATAATCCAAAAAAATTAAAACTATTACTGTCATATATATATACACAAATGTTTAGAGAATACCCAGTAAATAGAATTTGGGGTTTTTAAAAAGCTTACTACTTAAAATTTAAAACTTGCATTTAACAACCTGTATAATAAAAAAGTTTATCCCCTCAGAAGTCAACCAACAAAAAATAATTAAGTATATGCATCAAAAAAACAAACTTATAATTACAAAAATACAATTGTGCAAAAAAGTATAATTAGTGTCCATACATTATTCTGAGGTCTTTTTGCATCACTTTTTAAAGGCCTCATGACACATAGTCCAAAATTATTTAGGACTTTATAAAATAACCATATAAGGGACAGCTAGGTGGCACAGTGGATAGAGCTCTGGCCTTATAGTCAGGAGGACCTGAGTTCAAATTATGCCTCAGATACTTGACACTTACTAGCTGTGTGACCCTGGGCAAGTCAATTAACCCTGATTGCCTCGCCAAAAAGCAAAAAAAAAATAAAATAACAGTATAATGATTCATTGATTTGCTGTGTCATCTTGTCTTTAGTAATTCCCCAATTTGGGGGCATTTTGATAATTTCTAATTTCTTCCACATTTTACCTTTGGTAGGCATAAACACTTTAAAAAGTTTACTTTCTTAAAGTGAGACCATAAATAATGTTTGCTACACAACTGAATGTAATTTAACACAAGTACAAAGGAAATACTTTATAAAACATGGGGACATGGCAACATACCTATTACAAGGAAATTATGCATTAACAGATTTAAAAAATTATTTTTAGGATGAAAAAGTCAATTTTTGCTACATCTACATAAGTACAAAGTCTGCCTAATTAATTAGCCTTTCTACACGATAAACATTTCATCTCTTGGGTTGGAGATACTTAGTATAAATGTAATCTTTTTTTTTGTTTAATTAAATTTTATTTTATTTACATGAAGATCCATCTTCTTATCCCCTCACCTTCCCCTCTATTTGTTATAAAATGAAACTAAATTTTTGTTATAAATTTGTACACTCAAGCCAAACAAAGCTCACATTGGCCATATTTTTTTAGATGACCATTCCTTTAAAGTTTGCCAAATATTTGGCAATATATTCCTGCTTGGATAAGTAATTAATCTCCAATTACAGTATAATTTAGGGAACACTATCAAATCCTCAACTATTGTGGAAAGATCCAAAAATGTATACAATTAGATAAATGTTTTATAAGGAATAATAGCATAATTAGATAAATGTCTAATTTTTTTTAAGAAGAACTAACTACATAGGTTGATTGTCTACTACCCCAAATGATGTCACATGTAAGTCTACAGTAATGGTGAAAAGGGAAAAATATTGACATTTTATTCAGTTCTGTTTTTGGGGTGTTGGGTAGAGGACAGAGAATGAGGGAGGACATTATGCCTTAACTATTTCTAAAGACAACTCCTTGTTCCAAAGGTAGGTTAATTCTATTGCCGTCATAATAACATCAAAGTTTTTTATTATTTGTGGAAGTGAAGGACAGAGGTCATGATTGAAAGCCACATACTCCTCAAGTTTCATTTTGCTAAATATTTTCAATTACCAATCATTTCACTGGAACTTCTAAATGATAGTAAAATTGATTTATTTGCATTCTGTTTTCCACTTTGATGCTTTCATACCATTGAAACAACCAAAAGACAGCTAGCTAGAAAGAAAATAATAAGAAAAAAAGAATCTGCATCAGGGTCAGGATAATTCAGAAATTAGATAATTTGCTCCCAAATAAACCTATGAATAACTGTTCTAGAGTTTGCTTATCATTAAGTTAGTCAGAATGTTTGGTATCGACTAGAAACAACACAACAATTTACACTCTAGAATATGTGCCAGAAGATTCTTGAAGAGTAATCAATTAAAAAAAAAACCTTGTGAGCAAAGATTTCATAAAAGAAAAAAAGTGAGCCAACTGCATCAGACATGAGGGAGATCTCTTTATTCTAAGTTGCTAATAACATCAGTATTGTGGATCTCACCCTCCTGGTGGTCAAAAAGAACTTGATGGAGGCTTAGAAAGCACTAGCCTTTTGAACTTTTGGATTACATCTCCCATTCTTCAATAAAATCATCCAGAAAATTGAACTTCAAAAGCTCTGGAGAAAAAGAACAAGGCACTTACTTTAAAGGCTCGGGAGAGAGTTTAGTGCCTGAAAGGTTGATTTGCATCAAGGCAAGAGAACTGCTGAAAAACTGTTTGAAGGATGGGGGTACATCTTTTCCTTTCCTGTAAATCAAAAAACATAAGAAGTTAGCACTGACATTTTTACAGCAATATGTAATTCCAAAATGACCAATGTCGACAGATACACAATTACCCAATGGCTGCACGTGGATCTTTTGTGAATTAATGGATGGAATGGCTAAATTTATTTAAAAGGTGAGAAGAAAAAAAAAAACTCCAAAGCAATTGATGGGACTGTGAAATGTAAGTGAAGAAATAGACCATCAAATCAATAAAAAGGTATTGATCAACTCCTTACTATACCCTAAAATAACTCTTCCGCAATGCCATCCTCTCTTTTCAAATAAACTAATGCCTGCTGATCTTCAAAGAGAAGTCCTGAGATTTAAAAGTGAATATGTATAATTTGGTATTAAACAAGATGCCTTAGGGTGCTGGGCACCTAACTTTTTGAAATGGTGGTTACTTTTGCTGAAGTCTTCTCCTCCTTTAGTCTTTGTTATAAATGGATTCTCTCTAGAAAGGATGATTTAGGAAACATAGATGAATTCAAAATGAAAGATGAATAGAAATTAAAACTCAGAAAAATAAAAAATAAAAACATGGACTTTGGTAACAAGGAACAACTTGGAATTGTTGAAAGCCCAGAACAATTTCTACGTGGTTGAGAATCATTAAAGACCACTATCTCAGAAGAATGAGTACTGGCAAAGGGCAATGGAAAGAATCACTGTGGGTGGAGTCGAGTAAGAACATATTCCCAATGACAGTTTTCAATGTCTCATTAAAGATCTCTGTGGCACATACAACCAGAGAAGAAACTCAGGGTCAGTTGAGTAGTAAAAGAATGGAACAACAGATAAGTAGCACAAGTGGTATATGGGCATCCATGAATTTTTAAAGGACTCAAGAAAAAGATTCAAGGATTTTGGTGCATCTTTTATGGAGGATTTATGCAAAGAAGTGGACAAGAATTCCACAGGATAGATGGCATGGATGAGCTATGATCTGCATTGCGTTTCTGTTGTTGTTCAGTCATTTGTCAATTGGGTCCAACTCTTCATGATGCCATTTGGGGTTTTCTTGGTAAAGATACTGAAGTGGTTTGCCATTTCCTTCTTCAGCTCATTTTACAGCTGAGGAATCTGTAGCAAACAAGGTTAAGTGACTGGCCTAGGGTCACATAGCTACTAAGTGTGTGAGGCAAGATTTGAACTCAGGAAGACGAGCCTTAATCAGGTCCTGCATTGTATCCACTGTGCCACTTGGCTACCTGTGATCTACGCTAGGGGAGGTAAATCAGTAAGATCTCAAAGATATCAAAGTATAAAAGTATGCATTTATTAAAGGGAAAAAGGTGGTGCAGCTAAGTGGTGCAGTGAATATGCCACCAGCCCTGGAGTCAGGAGGACCAGACATGACACTCACTAGCTGTGTGGCTCTGGGCAAGTCACTTAACCCCAACTGTCTTACTAAGAATAAATAAATAAATAAATAAATAAACGAAGGTGAAAGGGACCAGTGAAAGGAGATCTCACTGACCATCTGATGATGCTGACAATCCCTACCTACCCTCTGTAGTGTTGGCAAAAGCACTGAGAATCACATGCAAACAACCTTTGAATTATTCTGATCTGATACAAATCACTAAACAACATGGAAAACAGGAATAATAGACTGTTAGGCAACATCTTCTATTGCCCAACTATTATTTTTCCAGGTACACCAAACACATTTGCTTAAACATATGTGTTCCTAACCACTGCTTTATTTTATCAATCTAACAGATTAATTCTTTAAATTAATTTCTCCTTTTGTTTCTTTTCCTGTAAAATACTCTTTAGTCAAGTCACAAATTCTATCATCATCAGAGTTAAGAAATCATCATCGGTTTATTTCACCTATGCCATTTAAGGGTCCTCAAGAAGGCAATGTTCTTTTATTTAAGAGACTGTAATGGTATTCCACATTTCAGTATTTTACTGAAATCAGGCGAACTTACTCAACATTTCTTCCAAGTGCCCTTCAACATATCTACTCACCTAATCAATCATTCATAGCTCTATCTAAACTAGTCTGTTTTATGGTCGTACAATCTTACTGAATGATATAAATCTACCACTTGAGCCAAGAAGCAAAAATTTTGGAACACCTTTCAGGAGATGAAACCTACTAATTCCATGATGATTTCCCTATCCAGTCTAACGCTGTGGGTAACCCAGTGACTTCTACCTCCAATTCAAACCCTTTCAGTTGCTTGTAGGGAAGAACTGCTTAGATAGAATTTATGGCATTTTGATAATTTAAATAAATTTGTAATTTAATGTATAAAATAGTACACACATATGTAAAATTATACTATCTTTAGACACACACATATATACTATCTTTATATTTATATAAAATATTTTGTGATACATCATATATACCATCTTTATTATACATTAAATCACAAATTAATTTAAATTGTCAAACTGTATATGCTCACAAACAAGGCAATGCTCATTTATATATCATTCTCAGGGATAAGGTTTCTACATGATCAGATTTCCCAGAGGTCAGAAACTTTACTCTTTTTGAGCAGCAGAAGTTGTTTTTTATTTATAACTATTTTTGATGGATAACTAATTTTACAATAATTCCTTGCTTTATTAAAGTGTACGGAACCTAATTTGGTGATTTTAGGGTGGTTATAGATATGAATGTTGCAGTATTTATTTTAAGGCAGTTAAATACAGTGATGGCTCCAGGAATTGTGGGGAAGCAACCAAATGTCCTCTTTAAGGCAACCCTCCAAGACCATAAGTCATAGAAGAGTTGCTGATCAACATGGGTAAAGGAGATTTCCCCATCAGGGCTTCTCTACATTGATGAATGCATAGATCAAGACCAAAACAAAACTTAACAAAAGAAAAAAATAAACCTTTAAGTTTGAATATCCTTAGATAATACATGGTGATTACTACCTTTTAGGATTCATCTGAAAGCCATTACTTAAAAGCTCTGTGAGAGAAAGATCTCACTATTTGACATACAGTTGAAATTAATGGTGCTTGTTCCAGGGCTGCATCCCAAAGAGATCATAAAAATGGGAAAAGGACCCACATGTATAAAATATTTACAGCAGCTTTTTAGTGGTGGCAAAGAATTGAAAATTGAGGGAATGGCCATCAAATGGGGAATGGCTGAACAAGTTGTGGTATATGAATGTAATGGAATATTATCGTGCTATAAGAAATGATGAGCAGGCAGACTTCAGAAAAACCTGGAAAGATTGATATGAAGTGATGCTGAGTGAAGTTAGCAGCACCAGGAGATCGTTGTACACAGTAAGAGCCACACTATGCGACGACTAACTGTGATAGACTTAGCTCTTCTCAGCAATGCAAGGATCTCCAAAAGTCTCACAATGGAAAATATTATCCACATCCAGAGAAAGAACTATGGAGTTTGAATGCAGATGGAAGCATACTATTTGCTCTTTATTTTCTTCTGTTTTGCTTTGTTTCTTCTTTCATGTGGTTCCTCCTTTTGGTTCTAATTCTTTTTTACAACATGACTAATGTGAAAATATGTTTAATAGGAATGCATATGTAGAGCCTATATTAGATTGCATGCCGTCTGGGGGAGGAAGGGCGAGAAAATTTAAAACTCAAAAGCTTATGGAAGTTAATGATGAAAACTAAAAATAAATTAATAAAAAAAATTAATTAATGGTGCTTGAAAAGAATGCCATACCGGTGAGAAAAGACAGTCCTGGAAAGGCTGAGGACAGCTAAATGCTGAAGGCACCCACGAAGAAGTGCTGCACAGACCTGGAAAGTAAAAACCTCAGCTTGATTATCGATTATCGCTGATTACAGAAGTCTACTTTACTCAACAGAAATTCCACTATATGACAACTTAACGGATGCTGAGACTCCTAGGCAAGATAAAGAAAACGTTACCATGTCCAGGGCACACTCCGTGTTGGACAAATCCAGGTGAGCAATGGCGTTTGGCTGAGCCAAAAAGTTGTACAGGTACTTGGGGAAAAAAGGAACAACAACAAGAAATTAACCACTAAAAACAATAAAAATAAGATCAAATATTTCCAGCATTAAAAAATAAGAAAATTCAGAAAAACTAGAAAATCTGCTCACATTTCTTCTATATCTTTTCTACCTCCAATAATGTTATCACAATTTTTGTTACAGTGACATAATTCTAAAAACAAAACTCTAGAAAATATTTAATATAAAATTAAGCTTGAGATAAAATATGAGAAACCTTCAAATGAAATCCGGACTCCCCAAGCTCTTGTCTGTTATGCATCACTAGATTTGTTTGATTAGCTCAGCTTAAGCTACACCATTTTGAAAAGTGCTAATTAATTTTAACTCCTGAGATTGAAATGCCACCTGGATTACAGTCACTCTCTCAAAATGCTAATCAATTTTGAAAGTTCAAATGAAGTCTTGTACCCTGTGTTGGGATCACCACTAATTTGAATCTGAACCATATGATGCTGTCTGGCCAGCCTCTGCTTTGTCACACAAGGTCTTCCTGTCCTGAAGCACTTTAGAAATCTAATAAGACAGATCTGACAGACCTATCAGGGAATTAAAAAAAAAATTGTCACGCACAGCTGGCCAAACTCCATTTTCATAGGTTACACATAGCCTTCCCTTCACACAAAGGCTGAAAGTGTAGAACTGTAGACTTATTATTCCATGTGTTTATGAAAAATTAAATATCAAAAACTTGTAATAGAGCTTTAATCTGCATTATGAGAGGCCACAGTAAGATCTAGAGTGTTCCAAGAGGAACACTCTTGTTCGATAATGAAATAAAACAAAATTAAAAATTTGTATATATGCCAAGAGACACTGTGAAAAAAGAAGTACAAATTCTTTCCTTTACTTAGCTGAGAGTCTTGTAGCCATTGGTTAACTTCCATTAATTTTAAAAACTTCAATGGAAGACAGATATGTTGAGAGTTATTATTCTTCCAATGAAAAAATTATTTAGCCAAAGGAAGGTTAGCCTGAGATAAGCAGACTTGCAAAGTACTTAAGCTATGAATATTCCTGATTTAAGATCCTTGGCTAGAACAGTACCTTGCACCGAGCTGACACTTAAAACCTAGGTGAATCAAATGCTCAAAGGTAGCGTGATATGGTGGACAGAGAATCAAACTGGCCTCAGAAGAAGGCATGATCCAAGTCCTCTCTCTTACACATACTGACTACCTGACCTTCATCCAAGTTATTTATGTTTTTTTTTGTTTTATTAATTTATTTTGATTTATCAATAATCATTTCCATATGCTTTTGAGTTTAAAATTTTTCTCCCCCTTCCTCCCCACCACCCTCCCTTGACAAGTTATTTAACCTCTCAGTGCTTCAGGCATCTATTTGACTAGAAATTATACAAAAGGTATAGAACAGCTCTGGTAAAAGGAGTTTCCTATACCAGTGAAATCACACGTACTGTTCCTATGGACTACTAACTTTCCTTGGAACACTTCAATGTCCACTAGAACTTTCTCATCCTTCCCATAAAACACATTCTTAGAAGACTGATACTGTTGTCATTTAGTTGTAGTTTGGTCACATTAACATTAGGGATTTTTTAATTGTTTCTCATTTAATTTTAAATCTCTACAATTTATTCCATCTGAGCATTTCCTACAATTGTTTAGCATCTTATTAACTGTCTAAATTAGGCCTTTGCATCTATCTTTTTAGAGGGATAACAGCAGGAATGGATCATCAGTTAAGGTGACAATCAAGGATATACACAACAATCATAATTCACCATAAGAAAAAAGCAAAAAATATCTTTTCAGTAGGGTAGGTAGAAAGTGTCGAAGAAGGATAACAAGAACGGGTGGAACAAACAGGAAAGAAATGTGCTTGGTGCCACCAAAACTCTTGAAATAACAATGAAATTCCTCCCAAGAATCTCATCAACATGTCATTTCCTCATGACCTGACTGATTATAATATGATCAGCTTAGCCAGTGACGGCGATTTTAGTAGGATGGCGGCCATCTGGGAGCAAAGGCTGCTTTGTACCTCCAGTTGCAGTACAGGGATCTGAAGTCAGTGGTTGCCTAATAAATGCTTATTGAATTGCAATGAATCCTGACCAAAGGAAAAAGTCAGCATTCATCTTGATCATCGATTTCTATCCAATTTTAAGACGATTAATGTATCAAACTGAAGAGAGCTGCTAAATATTTATATTATTTCTAAATTTCTTAATAAGCTGGAGAAACCTATTTCTTTAAGTTTTTCAGAATATTTTTCTTTCATACTTGCTTCAAGGACCACGTGTGAAGCTCCAAGGAGCTATCTATCCTTATGGATGGCTGTTTCTGAAATAACTGAATATTCTACAATTATTCAATTATGCTTATTCCACTATCACATCCTTAAAAGGTATGGTACAACCAAGTCTCCACTTGCTATGGAATAGCAAATATTGTGAACCACATGGGTTGTTTGACCAATGTTCTAAACATCACATGATTTATTCTTAATTTTTATTTTTGATGAGGCAATCGGGGTTAAGTGACAGAGTCACACAGCTAGTATTAGGTGTCTGAGACCAGATTTGAACTCAGATGCTCCTGACTTCAGGGCCGGTGCTCTATCCACTGTGAAAGAAGATATGCTAAGAAAGAAGATGTTATCTGAATCAGATAAAGATCTGATAATTAGAAGTATGTATAGAATAATTTTACATATGTGTGTGTGTGTGTGTGTGTGTGTGTGTGTGTGTGTGTGTCTAATGGTAGCCATTGAGGGGGAGAGAAATTTACATGGTAACTTTTTATATGTTTAAAAGGAATAGGGGCAGCTAGGTGGCACAGTGGATAGAGCACCGGCCCTGAAGTTAGGAGTAACTGAGTTCAAATCCCCCCTCAGGCAAAACACTTGACACTTACTAGCTGTGTGACCTTGGGCAAGTCACTTAACCCCAATTGCCTTAAAAAAAAAGGAATAGCAAGTTGCACATAACAGATTTGCAGTTTCATCTTTTCTTTTTAAATTATACTATGTTAATGGAAATGCTTGTTTTATTCCATAAATTTAAAAAGTGAATAAAAACTTTTAAAATTTAAAATAGAAAAATTTAAAAATTAAGGAGAAAATGAGCAACATTCAAAAAAGTTTAACTGCTGTACCAAAAAGAGAAAGGAATGACTACATATCAAGGAAGATTATTGACATTTAGAAAGACAATTCACTAAAAAACAACAGTCATGTGAATAGCACAGATTTCACATCTGTGAATGGGAAGGGAATGAACTAAAGTACTGCCTTTGGGAACTGTACATAACTCATGAAAATACAACTTTGTCCAAGAAACCAAATGATATAACAAGAAAGTCTTACCGAGAGGTCATCTCCCCGAAGAGCGTTCCCTGAGAGGTCTAAGTGGGTGAGGGTGGTAGCAATTACCTGATTGGCACTGAGTGATTGAGAAAGGCTATTCACCCCTAAAATATCAAGAAGAGTCAAGTTCAATCCCCTCTTAAAGGTAGCAAGATCAGGCTTATTATAAATTTTCCAGAAATAAGCTAGCAATAGCAACCCAGAATGTAGAATTAAAGGAGACAGCGATTCCGTTGTTGTTATTTTAAATATAAGTGTGGCTTAATTACAAGAAGAGTATAGATGGCCATGTGTTATCTATAAAACTCTCCCCTAAGCTTTGCACTCAAATATTTTGTTGGCAAAGGTAAAAGAATAGACTGGACCCTTAGAGATCACCTAGCCCAAATCTTAGATTATGCAAAAACTGAGGCCCAGAGAAATTAAGTGACCTGTACAAAGGCAAACATGTAGGAAATAACAGAACTAGGATTCAAACTCAAGTATTCCAAGGTCCAATCTAGTTCTCCTTCCACAACACCAACAAGTTTAAAATATTTCAATCCTTGAAAGACTACAAACAAGTTAATTGTCTGAATTTGTCTTATTCTAAAAACCTGCCAAGTGCTCTTACAATCCAAATTTAACATTTCAATTATAAATGTGACTATTAAGAAAAAAACAGTAAAATAAATAAAAAATCATGTTAATAATATCAATTGTGTTAATGTGTTATAAATTTAACGAAGTAACTGCTATATTTATCATGATGTTAACAAAATATTAAAAGTATGTTACTCAATGTAGTCACACATTTACCCAACTCAACTCAATGTTAAATAAAAATTTATTCAGTATTGTTGAAAGCACAATTCAGGATCATAGTGTAAGGATGGGGATATCAGTCTTAATACCTTTATCAGGTAAGAACACATTTCTGAGGTTGACTGGTGTGAATAATGAATGGATTGCTCCAGCAACAACTTCAGAGTTATTACGAAAATCAAATGTGAATTTATGTAGTATGCTTTTCAAACCTTAAAGCCTCATAAACATATTTTTTCTAGAAGATTTAAGATATCAAGAGAGGCTATATTTAAGAAAAACGACTACCTTACTCCCACTTTTCTTGTCCTGTTACTAATAAATTTGTACCTGCTATGACAAAAACATATGGAATGTACCAGTCTCATATTAAAATATACAATTATCTGATATTCCACTACCATATAATAAATGCTACACCAAGTGCTTTAAAAACTATCAGGGAAATCATTTTTCTTTAAATCATTCTGCTTTGGAGTGTGACAAAATTCAATAAATGCAGAGCTGAATTAGATGACCAAATCACTCCTGACAGTAAAATGCTTCTTGACAAGTATGGGCACTTGGCAGTAGGCCAGGATCTAAAAAAAAAATCAGTGTTGGATAATATTATCTGGTAGGCTTACTGCTACTGTAGTAAAATGAATGATTCCTTTCTGTCTCCTCCCTAACAATCGTAGGAAATTACAAAAATGTAGGAAGTAGAAACTCCTATCTATTCTAAATGCAGATTTTACACCTTAGATTTAGGCTTTCTCGTCATTTTAACAATGTCCTTTATTTTATAGAGGAGTGTTTCCACAGCTGGAAGAAGGTGACCTCACATGAATATGGCTTGACCTAATCAGAATGAACAGAAGCAGAACTAGACAGCGAATATCTGTGGAAGAAGGTAAGGTATCGCTGTGAGAATTAAGAGATTATAATGAAATAAGGAAACAAAACTGAAAAATACACTGAAATAAGGAAACAGAACTGTCTGCCCAATAGTCGATGATTATAACTACTGTTTAAGTATCATCAATTGCTCAAGACTAATTTCCTTTTTTATTCTAGAAATACTTGAAGCTCAACTCAAAGGTGAGAGAGAATAAGACCTTTTAAGAAGAATAACTACTCATATTTATAAAGCATTTTAAGATTTGGCAAAGTGCTTTCCCTAGAACTCTATGTGCTAGCTAAGTAGCTATCACTATGGCTCTGGTCATAGAGCTATTATTTGTAAGGAGACAGGTTCCAAGTGCAGATCTCCCACTTACTGGTACAATAATTTTTTCTAGGTATTCCTTAGCTTTGGAAAAGACACATTTCAAGACACACTACCTAGAAAGTGGCTATATAAAATATCACTTGTTTCTTAAGTAAATATTTAATACAGAACTTAAGCTTCAAAATGGATACTGAGGATAAGAGAGTGTATAAACTCTCTGTCTTAATACCAAGATAGCCTCAGTCCCACTAAAAGTTCTTGAAGAAAGTGAAGATTTCAGTTGTGACAAACAGAAGTTACTTCTTACTCTACAAATGGACTTAAGGAAAAAGCCAAAGTCAAGAGGGGAAAAGAAAATGGTAGTAGAGTAAAACTGAATAATAGAAATAGGGACCTGATTCTCTCTCACCTTAATGTTCCTTTTCAGAAAACTCTTTTGCATCCTTTTATCTAAACTGCACACGTATAGCCCATAATCAGTGAGAGTTGATCATTAATGCTTTCTGGGAATACTAACTGGCTGACATAATTTGCAATTTTAGAGAAATATTGGAAGGATCTTAGTGAGATCTAGAATAGATCTCAAGTCTGAGGATTACAACTGTAATTACCACAGTGACCCCAGGAACATAAGGAAAATATTTCAGACTAATACGAGTATTTTTAAATATATGGACTTTAAGTTGTTAAACTGTATGAAGAAAAGGGCAAAATAGGAAACAGTCACAATGGCCTTGAGAAATTTTAGTAGTTGTTTTAACATATATTTTAATAATCAATGGGAGGGCAGCTAGGTGGTGCAGGGGCAACAAGGTGGCACACTGGATAGAGCACCGGCCCTGAAGTCAGGAGAACCTGAGTTCAAATCCGGCCTCAGACAATTGACACTTACTAGCTGTGTTGTCCTGGGCAAGTCACGTAACCCCAATCGCATTAAAAAAATAATAATAATAATCAATGGGTGGGGGAAAAAAGAAGGGGGGAAAAATCTGTTGACCACTTAAATGAACCTATTAACATGTTTTCATCCAAATGATGAATAATTGGGGCAGCTAGGTGGCGCAGTGGATAGAGCAGCGGCCCCAAAGTCAGGAAGACCTCAGTTCAAATCCAACCTCAGACCAAATACTTGACATGTACTAGCTGTGTGACTTTGGGCAAGTCACTTAACCCAGATTGGCTCACCAACAACAACAAAAAAAAAAAAGATGACTAATCACTTTGAGACATGGAAGGAAATTTTTATTCAGGTAAAGGTGGGAATCCATGACTGTTGATGTTCTTTATAACTCTGAATATCTGTCATTCTGTAATTGCTGGAAGGAAGCCAGTTTCTTGAATGGCTCATGATAGCTATTTGCCTTACCTCCTCATTATGATACTTTGTCTAGTCATCTTTCTACCATGTATTGCTACTCTAAAAGTCACATCCATATGAGTAAAAAAGCAATTTAACATTGAATTATTCTATAAATTTGTTTATATTTGCATTGACCATCATTATGTTTGAAGTAGAATTTGAATTTGAAGTGGAAATGGGGAAGTGAGGGAAAAAGTACTTCTAGAAATGACTGTGCTGCAAACAAAATAGCTGTGCTATAACAAAAAACATTTTTTAAGGATACATCAGGAATGGGGTAGTCAAAGAAATATTCCTATTAATCAAGACTGACAGCTTTGAAGAGGAATTTGGTTCAAATCCTAGATCTTTTGTAGACATATTTGTGTGACATTGGACAAGTCAATTAAACCGTCTGGGCTTTATTTTCTTCATATATGAGACAGATGGATTGGACTATATCCCTTCTAGATCTTTATGATGCTAGGAAAACTTAATTTTAAGAAAACTAGAAAGAAGGTTGATGACATGGGGGCACAATGGAATACCTTTCCTAAGCTGTCCAAATTGTGTAAACAAATGCTTTCCCTCAGGACCTCAAAGGACTTTGTAGTTTTTGTTATTCAGTCTTTTTCAGTCATGTTCAAGGCTGCATGACTCCATTTGGAGTTTTCTTGGCATACTGGACTGCTTCGCAATTTCCATCTCCAGCTCATTTATTTTAGAGATGAGGAAACTAAGGCAAACAGAGTTAAGTGATTTGCCCAGGATCACACACCTAGGAAATGTCTGAGTCCAGATTTAATTCAGGAAGATGGGTCTTCCTAATTCTGAGCCCAGTGTCTATCTACTGTGCTATCTAGCTGCCCAACTGTTTTATTATATTCGTAGTATAACCTACTATTTAACTTAATTTAGAGACAGAGCTAGGAGATAACATGAATAAAAGTACTGGGTTTGCAGTCAAAGGGCCTAAGTCCAAATGTTTCCCCTGACACTACTTGAGTAACCTTGAACAAATCACTTAACCTTCTTAGTCCTCAGAGTTTTGGCCCTGGTATAAGTCAGACTTGATTTCAAAACCTGACTCAGACATTTATTAGCTGTGTGACCCTGACCAAGTCCCTTAATCCCTTTCAGACTCAGTTTCCTCATCTGTAAAATGGGAATAATAACACCTACCACACTCCCAAGGATCAAAGGAGGATAACATACATAAAACCGTTCATAAACCTTAAAGCTCTGTGAAATACTCCTCAGCTGTACCATGCTAGAAGTCCAAAGAACGTGCTGACAATAGTAGCATGGGATCATAGAATTTTCGTCTAGAAAAGACCTTAGAAAATATCTACCTCAGTCATTGTCAAGATGAAAGCACTAAGTATGTAAAATATTTTGTCCAAGGTCCCACAGGAAATAAGAAATTGACAGATCTTTTGATACTATCCAATGCTCATTCTACTCTACTACAACAGGCTGCCTCTGTCCTCCAGGCTGCTTAATTTAAGGGAATACTAACTACTTAATTTAGTTAAGTAGTTAATTTAGGAGACAACTAAATACTTGGGACAGCTAGGTGGTGCAGTGGATAGAGCAGCCAGCCTGGAATTAGGAAGATCTGAGTTCAAACACAGCCTCAGACATTTACTAGCTGTGTGAGTCTAAAGAAGTCACTTAACCCTGTGTGCTTCAGTTTCCTCATCTGTAAAATGAGCTGGAGAAGGAAATGGCAAACCATTCTAGCATCTTTGCCAAGAAAACCCCAAATGGGGTCATGAAGAGCTAGACCTGAGTAAAAAGTGACTTAACAAAAACAAAATACTTACTCCTGAAGAACTATGATTTTCTTCCTTCATGTTCTTTGGTATCTTATACATGCAGGCTATGATGCTATAGGAATGAGACTTTTCTTGTATAGTTTGGCAGATAAATTTAATCCTTGCTATACAAATCTGATCATGTCACCACACTGCTTAGAAATCTTTTTAGCCTCTTAGTCTACAGCTCAGAAGTCAAATAGTCCAACCTTGATGGGAAGTACATTGTCCTTGATAAGTGGTTATCAAGTAATTCTAGTGATGGAATAGTTCCCTACTAGTTTCTGAGATGATGAAACAGGTTGGGATCCACAAAGGTAATTAGCTCAGTGCATTCAATTCAGTATCATCTCATACACTACAAACAACATCATGTACACTGCATGGAAACATATTATTAGAGGGACATCATGTTGTCCATCTTCTTTGTAGACATCTCCATTGCTCTGAAAGCTGTTTATGAAAGTGACTGACAGTAGGAACTCGTTACAATTGGCATAGTTTGTTCTAATCACATAGAGCTCAAAGGTTCAGAAAAATTTTTTTGATTTTCTACTTTATACAAGCACCAACTAAAATTCACAATATGTTTCTTCTGGCATTTTATTCCATAAACTTGTCATTCTCTAATCATTTCTAGAATAACAAATTCATCAGTAGTTCTGTGGATGGGTTGCAATTGTATTTCACACCATATTATTTTATTTTTCTTGCTTATAATTATCCTATTCATACAATATAAAACAATAATTAAGATATTATCTTTATATTATGGAGAATAATAATATGACTTAATATTTGGCAAAGTTGGACTCATATGTTAGGAAGGTAAGATGTAATTATGCTATGGTATGTGTTTACATGATTATTATATGGCATACTTGTTTATTATATACAGAAAAAAACCATTATTTTTAACTTCAAGGTCTAAAGTCATATGAATCTTTCTTAATAGATACTCTCCTTACTTTTCTCTCCTCTTCGCCTAACTCCTAACACATGAATAGCTTGATTCCACTCCGAACAATGAGCAATTATTCTAGAAACAGAAATAAGGAAGTATCTGGGTATGATATGGATACAAGAGTACAATTTATATATTTATAATAGAATATAAGCTCCTGAAGAACAAGGACTTTTTCATCTTTTTGGCACAGTGCCTGGCCAAAAAAAAAAAAAAAAAAAAAAAAAAAAAAAAGGAGGTACATAAATGTTTGTTGACTTACTGATGCTCAACTATTGGAAAACAAAAAAAAAAGAAGTGAGCTACAAAATCAGAATTCAAGCATAAAATAAACTTATTTCATGCAGCCTTTTTCATTTTTTGAATTCCTTACTTTTTAAAAAAAATAGGAATCTGAAGAAATGCTTTTCATCAATGAACTAGAGGTAAATGCTGACATACTCAAAGTACTGTGTTTAACAGAAAAATATAATCACTAAATGGTATAGAGAAGTGAAGACTCAAAATGGCCCAAGTAGATGGAATAGTAAAAAATTTCTGACACAAAAAAATCAGTCTAATGGTTTCTGAAAATGATTGGAAAGGTGGCCTAAATAAGGTTTTGAATAGTGGGGAAAAAGCCATTTATGTATTTTCATAAACTAATGTGCAGAAACTATGAAAACTATTTTTATTACCAATACATGAAGAAATTTGAAGATAACAAACATTTCTGGATGTTCTTCAGTTTCAAAAACATTTGTTAACTAGTTTTAGGTGAAAATAAGGTTTTAATTATATGTATCTTTGAGGTAACTTAAAAATATGCTTATAATCCATATATTATTGTAAACACAGAATGATTTTCTAATAGTTCAAAACATATTGAGGCTGTAGGGAGTTTAACAGGACTAGACGATGGCAGATAGATGGTAGGGTGGATAGAGTGCTGCACCTGGAGTCGGGAAGATCTGAATTCAAATCCAGCCTCAGACATTTAACTTAGTTGTATGACTCTGGACAAGTCACTTAACCTCTGCTTACCTCAGTTTCTTAATCTCTAAAATGAGGATAACAATAACACTTACCACCCAGGTTTGCAATGAGAATCAAAGGAAATATTATTTGTAACATGCTTTGAAAATCTTGAAATGCTAGCTATTATTATTGTTATTCTGATTTTTTATTAGATGTCAAAACAACACCATTTTAGCTCTAACTCTGTCAGCAATCAGCTTTACGACCTTTGAACTAGTCATATGATATCTCGAGGCCTACATTTCCTCATCTCTAAAATTTGAAGGTTGAACTATACATGGTTGTTGAGTTCCTGCCAGATCCTACATTCTATCATTAGGCTTTTTTTGTTTGTTTGTTTGTTTTTTGTGAGGCAATCGGGGTTAAGTGACTTGCCCAGGGTCACACAGCTAGGTAAGTGTCAAGTGTCTGGGAACAGATTTGAACTCAGGTCCTCCTGACTCCAGGGCTGGTGCTCTATCCACCTAGCAGCCCCCATCCTATCATTGTTTTATAAAGTAACAGACATATTCAACAATACAAAACAGACTTTGGTATACTGTACCTTTTGGTGATAATGAGGTTTTAGATAAATTTAAGTGTTTGAGTCCCTTTGGGAGTTTGGCAAACTGAATACTTAGAGAGGATACACCTAGGGAAGAAAAAGAAACAGTTTTAAGTTCTGAAGTTCTGAGAATTGGAGCTGTTGTTAAATTGAAATTGGCAAAATGAACTTAACTTCCTCCCGCATTCATGTGATTATGGTTTCCCTTCCTACTTATCATTCTTATTTTCAAGTAAAATTATATAGCTCTTCTTTCACATATGCTTTGGTCATCGAATTTCCCTTTTCTTCAGCCCCACTCTCACAGATAACCTTTCATGTAGTCGAATCAGGGAATCACCATTAGGGAAGAAGGTGAGGGTGGAGGAAAACCTTCCTAGAACAAAAGTATCTCCCTCACTGTGACCTTTGATTCATGCCAGCCTATTGGAAAACACAAATATTCCTTAAAGGGGAATTCAGTCACCAACACTTGAATATGAATAAACTTAGTAGATTCCTTTTCTCTGGGAAGAAAATATTAAATCTGACCTTCCGCAGGAGGCCTTTACTGGTACTCCCAGTTGCTAGCACCTTCCCTTTCAAGATTACCTTCCATCTAATCTATATATATATATATATATATATATCTTATATATGCCAAATTATTTTCATTCATGTCTCCTCCACTGGAAAATGAGCTTCTTGAGGATGGGTGCTGTTTTTCTTTTTCTTTGTATCCCCAGGGATACTGAAGCACAGTGACTGACACATAAGTGCTAATAAATAATGCTTGTTGGGCGCCTGGAAAACGGAGGGGAAAATGTGTAAGGCAGATTGGAGAGATCAACTTTGCCTAGGTGCAGCTTTGTCTATCTGTTCTTTTATAGTCAAAATTCCTTCTAAGCAAGATAAAAAATGTGCAAATGTTCTAAAATTAAAATTCCCAGATTTTTATTTTCTTCAAATTGATCCACAAATTCATTAATTTACATAAAAGTTTAATTACTAATAGCCACCATCAATTTTCACATACACTGTAATACATTATAACTCTAGGTGTATGTTTGTTAGTCCTTAGGGAAGATGACAAACTTTAACTGGTCTCTCACAAGCATCAAACACATGCCCCACATCTTCAGACCACAATGAAAAAAAAATTCAAAATACAGACTACAATCATCCAAAGGCCACATTTTATAATTAGATGATGTGAGAGGAAAGGGGCAAATTAAAAATGAAGTGATCAAATAAGCAGAAGATCTAAATGACATATCAAAAGGATAAGAAATAAGTCTGGGGATACACAAGAAAGTTCCTAAAACAGTGTGAAACTGTGGATGGATTCAAAGTCAAGGGTGGATTCAAAGATGGATTCAAAGTCAAGGGTGAAAGGTACAGAAATTAAAATATTGTGGCAAGTTACTTCTGTCAAATTCTAGATCCTGTAGCTACAAACACACAAACTCATAGGGCTGGAAGGTGATTTAGCAGTCACCCAGTTCAACCCATTCCTTCTACAGATGAGAAACTAAGGCAATGATGACTCTGCATTGATATGCAATTGTAATTATGAGACTTGTACCCTAAAAGAAGATATTACAGAGTATTAATCTATGATGTAGGTTTCAAACAATTTAACATAAAAATCTCAAGCAATAATGCTAACTAACACAATAGAAGAAATGGCATCAGCTAACCTCTTTAAACTTTAGAATGCTGCATTGGTTTAAAACAAGGACCTCTTTGTGTAAAGGACTTCTTAGGCAGTCTGTTGACTCCTTGATCCACAGGAGTCTATGGACTGCTTCTTAGGATAATGTTTTGAAAGCATAAAATAAAATATAAATGATACCAGAGGACACCAAGTATATGGAAATAACATTATTAATAGAACCTGGGCAAGTCACTTAACCCTGTTTGCCTCAGTCTCCTTATCTGTAAAATGAGCTGGAGAAGAAAATGCCAAACCACACCAGTATCTTTGCCAAGAAAATTTCAAATGGGATCAAAAAGAGTCAGGCACAACTGAAAACGACTGAACCACAAACATCAGCAATTTTTTAGTTTAGCAAGTTCATGTGTCCCTTCTAAGAAACTTTGGTTTAAAAGGAAAAAAAAATCAAACAAACAACAAAAAGAAAGACTGCTTATCTTCTTTCTCTATGAAATGTTTTATTCCAAATTCTTACTTTTTCCTCATGGCACAATATATATTTTCTACTTAGAGAATAATCACTTGCTAAATACTTGTTGTAATGAAATCTTATTACTAATCCTAATACTTACAGGAATGAAATCTATTTGAAGACCAATATTTTCCATTTTTTAAAAAAATCATTTTATCAAAATTCAGAATTTCTTCATGAATCCAAAACAATTCTTTCTGTAATTCATATGAATTTTTTTGTTTGAACTCATGTGTCCTAAGGCTTTCCTGCTTACCACAGTTAGAACTGATCACTCCTCATCTCAAGCATTGTTTCTTAGGCCCTCTTTTCTCTACATCCTGTCTTTCATGGTAATTAATCTCTATATGCAAATGATACCTATGTATCCATCCCTAATCTTTTTCCAGGTGGTCAGTCCTGTATATCCTGCCTATCAGACATGCCCTGTGGGCATCTCTAACACAACATGTTCAAAACTGATCTCATTTTCTTCTCCTTTCTCCTACCCTCACCCCAAATCTCCCTCACTCCCAATTTTCTTATGACTGTCAAGAGCACCACCATCCTCCCAGTTACCCATGCTTGAAACCCTGGTTGATTACTCACACTCACCCTATACAATCTTGCTGTTTTTTCCTTTACAATATATTTCATATGTGATGCCTTCTCTCTCTACTCTCACAGTCACCATCCCAGTCCTATCACCTCATGACTGGACTATCTAATAGCCTGCTGGATGCCCTCTCTATCAAAGTCTCTTTGCATTCAAATCACTCTACATTCAGTTATCAAAGTGATTTTCCTAAAGTTTGCCCATGTCACTCCCTCCCTCCTCTCCATAAATTCCAGTGGCTCCCTATTACCTCCAGAATCAATGTACTCTCTTTTACATTTAAAGCCCTTCACAATATTGGTCCTTGTCTTCCTTTCCAGTCTTCTCAGTTTTATTCTTTTCCAAATGCTCTACAATGCAGCCACACTGGCCAATCTGCTTGATGTTCCTCACACATTTCCAAACTGCACATCTTTTCAGTGGCTGTTCACCACTTCTGGAACACACTCTTTCCTCACCTTACCTCCTCTGGTTTTCCTGCTTTTTTTCAAGAATCATTCCAAATCCCACCTTCTGCAGGAAGTCTTCATTGCCCCCACTCCTCCCACCTTCCCTCTGAAATTACTTTCCATTTACATTCTATGTTATCTTATGGGCATATAGTTACTTTCATGGTATCTCTCCCAATAGAATGGAAGCTCCCTCAAGCTTATGTAACCTTGTGCTTGTCTTTGTATTTTATTTGTGTTTATGTGCATGTCTTTTGCATTTTGGGGGGGGGGGGGGTTGTTTGTATTTTTTTTCTCAGTGATTAACACAGAGCCTTAACATAGAAAACACCTAATAAATGCTTGTCTCTTACTCAACACCACTCTTTAAACCCTCCCTTCCTACTCTAGCTTGTAATAGAAAAAATTGTGTACATATTTTATCACTAGTTAGACCATGTATACCCCTTCAGGGCAAGGACTATCTTTTATTTTCATATTTGCATCCTCAGTGCCCAGTATTCTGATGTGTATGCTTAACTGTGTATTGAATTGATTTTTTAAAAGTTTAATGATTAATATACCAATGGGATAAAGCCTCTCCCTTTCCATCAATGCTTCAATTTGCAAATATGAATATGAGTAAGAACTTCATGGGATCAGGGAGTTTTCTTATGATCTTATACATTGTGTCCACAAATGATGTCTCAGAATACCTAAATCACATATGCTATGTCTATCAATCAGGAGGCACAGTGTGTTTGACTAGCACATACAAAACCTTCAAACTTTGCAAATGCTATAAAAGGAAGGGGTTTTTCGTTTAGGCTTTTCAGCCCTGTTTGACTTTTTGTGACCTTATGTGGGTTTTCTTAGTAAAGATACTGGAGGGGTTTGCCATTTCCTTCTCCAGCTCATTTTACAGATGAAGAAACTGAGGCAAACAGGGTGAAGTGACTTGCCTAGGGTCACACAGCTTATAAGTGTCTGAGACCAGATTAGAATTCAGGAAGATGAATCTTCCTGACTCCAGGCTTGGCGCTCTATGCACTGTGCCACCTAGCTGCCCCAAATTTGTAGCATATGCTACAAAAGCAAGGGGTTGGACTACATTATTTCTAAGGTTCCTTCAAGTTCCACCATTCTATGATTATCTTACATAGTTCGCTTTCCTGGCTTTTATTTATTTATCAACAGAAGAAAGACGAGCAAAGCACAGAGGTAAAAAAGTTGTAGAGGTCACAATAAAGATACCACAGTAGGCAGCAAATATAATTTTTAAACTGACTATAAAAGAAAAGCAAACAAGATTACTTACTTTGAGAGGCTCAAAGAGTGGGGTGAGTAAAGTAGTAGAGCAGATAGGGTGAGGGGTCCAGTTGTAGGAGATGTAAGCACTATAAATGTAGAGGCTTATTACAGAAAGGAAGGTAACCTTTCAGCTATAGTCAGAACAGGAGGTTAATTTTAACAGGTGAGTCCATTTTACCATAGATAATTAGAAGTTGATGGCGGCAACATTCCCTGAAAACAGTTTTTTCTCTCTCTGGGTCTCTCTCTAAATTCAACTAAATGCATTGATGAAATGAGATAACATAGGTACAATGCTTTGGAAACTTTAAAGTGTTCTAAAAATTCAAGGAATTATTGGTATTATCATTATTGTTATGATTATTTTGGAAGTTGCATGAGAAGTTTAATAAAATTAAAAGGATTTCACAAAGAAAATTCTAAACTCATGTCAGAAGATGGTTAGGGGTTTTATTCCATTTCCAATGGTAAAATTTAATCCAGTCTTAAAAATAAAAACGAGAATACAATTTTACAATATCTTTGTTAAAACAATTAAATGTTTTTAAAAAAAAACCTGGAGGCTTATCTAGTTTTTTCACAAAT